AAATGACAGATCCGATAAAGGGTTGACATCCAAAATATATAAAGAGCTCATGTACCTCAACAAACAAAAAGCAAACAATCCAATTAAAAAATGGGCAGAGGAGCTGAACAGACAGTTCTCCAAAGAAGAAATTCAGACAGCCAACAGACACATGAAAAGATGCTCCACATTGCTAGTCATCAGAGAAATGCAAATTTAAACCACAATGAGATATCACCTCACACCAGTTAGGATCACCACCATCCAAAAGACAAACAACAACAAATGTTGGCGAGGTTGTGGAGAAAGGGGAACCCTCCTACACTGCTGGTGGGAATGTAAATTAGTTCAACCATTGCGGAAAGCAGCATGGAGGTTCCTCAAAAAGCTCAAAATATAAATACCATTTGACCCAGGAATCCCACTTCTAGGAATTTACCCTAAGAATGCAGCAACCCAATTTGAAAAAGATAGATGCACCCCTATGTTTATCGCAGCACATTTACAATAGCCAAGAAATGGAAGCAACCTAAGTGTCCATCAGTAGACGAATGGATAAAGAAGATGTGGTACATATACACAATGGAATATTATTCAGCTATAAGAAGAAAACAAATCCTACCATTTGCAACAACATGGATGGAGCTAGAGGGTATTATGCTCAGTGAAATAAGCCAGGCAGAGAAAGACAAGTACCAAATGATTTCACTCATCTGTGGAGTATAAGAACAAAGGAAAACTGAAGGAACAAAACAGCAGCACAATCACAGAACCCAAGAAAGGACTAACAGTTATCAAAGGGAAAGGGACTGGGGAGGATGGGTGGGGAGGGAGAAGCAGGGGGAAGAAGAAAGGGGGCCTTATGTGGTGGGGGGACATGGGGAGGGCTGTGTAACACAGAGAAGACAAGTAGTGATTTTATAGCATCTCACTACACTGATGGACAGTGACTAATGGGGTATGTAGCAGGGGACTTGGTGAAGGTGGGAGTCTAGTAAACATAATGTTCCTCATGCAATTGTAGATTAATGATACCAAAATAAAATATTAAAAAAATAACAAAAGATAAACTGAGGCATATTAAAAATTCTAAGAGTTTATTTGAGCAAAACTGAATTCAAATCAGGAAACATCCAGTGTACCTACAGAAAGGAGCTCTGAGGAACTATACAAAAGGAAAGGCTTTCATGGCAGAAGGGAGCCAGAACAAGGAAGTCATGCTAGACAAAAAAGCGACTGGTTATTGCCAGGTTACTTCCCTTTAGGAGGTGGCAGGGTCTCTCAGGTAGATTATCTCACTAGTGTGAATTGGGCAATTCCTGATTGACTGGTTTAAGATTCCATTTCTGGGAGATGTGAGTCTTGGTTTGGTGACATGGGAGTACTTAGCACAACTGACTCCATTTGGGGCCTGTTGTCTTGTTTTTCACATAAGAGCAGTTTCACTATGGGCTTCCCGTTGCCAAATGAGTTCATTGTTTATCAGCTTCTGGAACTCTAAGAAATTTGACATGAATTGATGTTGTAGCACACTGAACTTCCTGAAGTTGCTTATTCAGAGTGAGGCTGTGTAGGGGGGTAACTGAGATTGTGAAAGGATGGTTTTTTGTAAAAGGCTAAATCATGATATTTATACTGATATAAAATGAACATATGTCAAAAGATTTTAACTTCTTTAATATGGGAACTAGAAAAGATGTTACAACCTGTTCACAGGAAATACCTAAGAACCATAAATTTATATGTAGTCAAGGAATGTTAAAATGAATTTATAAGATCTATCTTTAGGTTATCAGTTGGACCTCACAAAACACAATTAATCTGCATTTCTCTGGTCAAGAATTATTTGCATTAACAGCTTTGTACAAGTTAAAAGTCTCTCTCCACAGAGCTGTAAAACGGCCCAGTGGGAGGCCAAGGCATGCCCTAGGATGATCACATACCTGAAGGCTACCTCATTCCAAGCAATTTCAGGAAGTTCAGTGTGCTGCAACATCAATTTATGTCAAATTTCTTAAGTGTTCCAGAAGCTGATAAACAAGGAACTCATTTGGCAACAGGAAGCCCATAGTGAAAATGCTCTTGTTAAAAACAAGACAACAGGCCGGAAATTGAGTCAATTATGCTAAGTCCTCCCATGTCACCAAACCAAGACTCACCTCTCCCAGAAATGGAATCTTAAGCCAGTCAATCAGGAAAGGATAGCCAATCATCTCCTTTGCTCATTTCTAAGCCTTCAATTTTTCTTTACAGTGTTGAATTCATCTCTAAAATGGGGATAATTGGTGTTGATGTCCCAAGGGGCTGTTGTGAGATCTGACTTAACATTTATAAATCTTGGTAGGTTGCCTAATAAATGACAGCTGTGGCTTTGGTTTGCCGCTGCATTGCCTTAGCGGGCGGGAGACTGCTCCCAGAGGTTGCTTAGGAACTGAGCTCCGCTGTGGTTCCTGACTGTAGTTATGACTTTGTTTTGCTGTTTGTGGTCTAACTGACCTCTGCTGGGCCCCGATTCTGCCGCCCGTCTGCTTACAGCGATTTCCCCTTTCTTGAGCTAGCAAGCTCAGGAGTGTGACGCCTCTTTCTTGTCCTTTGTACTCAGGAAGTGCTTCCTACTGCAGATGAAGACTCTCATTTTCACAACTAAGCCTTCACTCTCTTCCTTTATTGAGGCAGGCTTGTGCAAAATGGACATCCCTTGACATCTCCTGATTTATTATTTGGAGATGACTTCAGACTCTCCCTTTTTCTGCTGACTTTGGGGGAGCTCTAATGGTGGGCTTGATATACCCAAGGTTCCCTGTGATACTGTCAACTTGAAGGCACCTCTGGTCAATCCTCTGCCTTGCAGATGTTAAGTTTGTCTGAAAAGTCACTGAAGCCAGAAACCTCTGCTTTTTGCCCTGAGGTTGTGCGCAGGCTCTGTTGTTTTTACACAGGGCCTTTCCTTTCCTGATGGCCCCCTGGGATCAGCCAGGAATCTTTCCATGTTCATCTGCAGCCCATTTCTGTGTGAATAAGCCACAACTTTTTGTCTGATAGGATGTAGGGGGTATTAAAAAATAAGACAACAGAGACTAAATTGCAGTTGCTTATTATGCTAAGCCCCATGTCACCAAACCAAGTCTTGACTTACAGTTTCACCTCTCCCACTCCCAGAAATGGAATCTTAAGCCAGTCAATCAGGAATTGCCTGACTAGCACTAGTTAGGTAATCTGCCTAAGACCCCTGCCACCCCCTAAAAGGAAAGTAACCTTTGTAATACGCCATCTGTTTTTCTGCCTAGTGTAACTTTTTTGTTCCTGCTCCCTTCTGCCTATAAAAGCTTTTCATTTCATACAGCTTCTCAGAGTTCCTTTCTATCTGTTTGATTGGATACTGCATGATTCAATAATTGTTGAGTAAAACCAATAAAACCTTCAAACTGTATTCAGTTGAATTTTGTTTTCTAATACTTTGCAGGAGGAAGGAAAGTTCTGGAGGCCCTTCAGGACAAACAGTGCCAACACTCCTCATTCCCCACAGGACAAAGGCCACAGGAATACCCAAGGCCAGCCCCTATGTCCCACATATAATACGGACCTTTACAACATGAGATTACATCTCAAACTAGAAAAGAGTAAAGAATGACCAACAGGTAGAGGAAACTACAAAAAACAAATGCTAAGGTCCCCACAACTAAAAGTGCTGCTAGATGAAGCCTGTGGAGGGCTTCACCCCTCAGCCTCTGTGTGTACCAGCTCATGGAAATCATGTTTACTAGCTCTTAATTCCCAAGTCATCAAATACACCAAGGGCCCTCAGAACAGAGCTTGTTCTAGGCGAATTCCACGTTCAGTGAGGCCCTCAAGAAGGTAATGCATCCAACAGTCACTCGGCTATTGGCAACCTCCGTGGTGAGGACTTCAAGACAAGTAAGTGGAACATCACAACACAAAACATTCAAAATAGCGCATTATCTGAACATGTAAGACTCTTTAAGTATTGAGAAAACATCTTAACTTCCTAGTGTGTAGACAGGCTCAACCTGACCCTCACACCTGACCTGAACTGAGAGCTCTAGCTACATAGTAGTTCAGCAGCCAGATTCCTCACTAGCACACTCTACCATACACTCCTGTCTCCCACAGGCTTCCTGCAGGCAGGAGGCACACAGATGAACTTAGGTGAGTCAGACAAGCCCTGTGCAAGGTTCCTCCCTTGGCTTTTGGAAGAGGTCAGGAATCACAGGGGCCTGCCAGACTCAAAGTTCTTCAGTCATGTGGTCTTGCAACCCTGGAATCCAATGACCGGCCCAGGCATCAGTGTCCTAGCCAAAGCCAAACCGAGGTGGCCCAAGAGCAGAAGGCTGCCAAGCAGGCTCTGCTGGACAAGCAGGCCCCTTCTAATGGGCAATACTAAACCTCATGTCATACATGCAACAGCGGAACTTCACTCACCTTGCCAAGTGGGCTTATTGGAAATGCTTCTTCTGCTGACCAACTGGAACCACAGCTCACCAACGTCTTCAAGCTAAGCCAGTCAAAAACAAAGTCCAGGCTCCAAAGAGAATAAATGGGGCCACAGAAATTAAGGAAAACATGGCCCTTCATGATAACCTATCCTGGGCAACTACACTCCCAGAATCAGGCAGATCTGAGTCAAGGGTGGCTACTCAAAGGATATTCAGCTGAGAATTCTCCACGTCTCCATTCACCCACATGTAGAAGCAGTCGCCATGTTGGGAACTGAAAACTCTACACCCCAGAGATTCTAAGCAAAGGACCACTGATAACCCCACAACCTCCTTGTGTCCATACTCCACACAATGAACACTTACCAGGCAGTCCCCACAGTGACCAAAATGGAATGAAGATAAGGTTAACTACCCTCTAGGAGCTTACTCTTCAAGGGAATAAAGAGATACACACACATATGACTAGAATCTAAGACACCAGCATTAGGCACCTAACAGGTATAAAGTGCTACAGAATCAAATAGGAGAAATGTCCTCTGCCTCCCTACCCTCCAAAGGAGGCTGAAATGCAAATGAAAGCAGGAAATAGTCTTTGAACCAAACCCTGAAGGACATATATTTTAACAGGCATGGAGAGAGGACAAGAAAGAACACTCTAGGTTGAGGGCAGTGATGGTAAAATAAACACATATGCCAATAGTCTGACTTTTCAAATGTTCTAGTTAATGGAATGGGAGGAGCATGAAGGAACCATGACTTTAACGACAAGAACAAGAGCCTTTTCTCTGCGTACCCCTTCCACCTGGCTCAGTACCTGGATCACAACAGATACCCCAGATGTGTTACACGGAGGTTAGGATGAGGCCACCTGAGGGCCACTGTAACAAGACCAGATGAGAGCTTCAGAAGACAATAATGCATTACTTGGGAAGTTGGCAGAGGGGACAAGATAAGGGCAACTGCTATTCTCTGGCCACGGGGACAGCCTAAACTGGGAAAGCCAGGAGGTCAATGGGAAGGTCAGCTCTAAGACATTCCAAAGGTGGAACAAACAGGGCTTGGCACATAACCTACCTCTATAAACTTACCCAAGTAACAATTTCAAGACACAAAGTGCTCAAGGAAAACATGGCCTTAGATGGAGCAAAGAATGCCCCCTGCAGAGGGCAGCCAAGCCCTGACAATGCTCATAAATGTGTGGCTTTGCATAGGTCATCCTGTTTGTAAAGTATCCAGGACCTGATTCTCCTCCTCCCTTCAGACAGACTTCTAAATGTGTCCACCCACCACCTGCCTGACAAAGACTAGGTACTAAACAAATACCTGGCAAATGAATGAAGTAATTCAAATAAAATTAAATTTTCTGTTAAAGAGCAGAAAATACAAAATTCAAGTAGTTGTTGGTATCTCAGGAAAGAAATGTGGTAGGGAAAGTGCACACAATTGGGATGAGATACCCCCAAAAGGCCAATAGGAGATCTCCCCAGGATCATCTGGTTGGTAACTTCATGGAAAAATGTGGCTGGAGCTCTAACCTGAGGTAGGGACTTGCATATCTTTAACCAAATACTTAATTATCAATCAAAGGTTTGGGAAACAGGTGCCATCATATGTTAATGTGATGGAAAATTAAGAAATGCAGTTTTTCTAATTGTACAGATTTCATTTACTCCTCTATTATTCACTTTATTTAGGCGTTTTGAAGTTTCAGCTTACTGTTCCAATTTTGCAGCTGAGGCAGTGAATCCCAAAGGCAGACACAGACTACACATTTCACATTATGTCTGTGAACTCCCACAGAAAACTCCATTGCCAACCAGACTTGGAACAAGCTATGCCAGACCACAGCAGCCGTGGAACTGCTGGAAGGGCACTGGAACAGGAGTCACTGGTTCGGCTTCTGCAGGGTCCTCTGCCATTCCTCCACAGCGGCCCCTCCCACTTAGCCAGGCTGCTAGATTTCTCTGTGCAAATTAACTTTGTACACTAAAGCATTAACAAATGTAAAGAACTGTGGTGGAAGGAGAAACGGGAATCTGATTCCACTTTCTAAGAAACAGAAAAGAGACAAAAAGCCAACCAAGCCAAACAAACTCCACCGAAGGGCAGATACTCCACGTGGCTCGGGCGCAAGTACTATAATTAAGATAATTAACTTGATTGATGACAGCAAATCCATTCAGGTTAAGAGACTCCACTAACAGCACCACACCCACCCCTTAACAAATGGGGCCACGACCTCACCAAGTAATTGCTAAACATCCCTGCGCTGTTTAAAGACAGCATCCTCCAGACTTCAAGAATCCACACAGCCCAGTCAAAAGGAAGAGGTTTAAAGCCCTTGTCTTCCCCCTTGGCTATCTCGCCTTCTCTAGCGAGTACATTCAGGAGCGGGCGCCCGCCAAATTAAGAAACTCGCTGGAGTGAAGTTTCAAAGCAATTTTCAAAACAGCTCTCCACCCGCTTCCCAGGACACTGAAGATAAGTGGAGTACTGTCGGCAGCCCCAGAATTCACTGTTTCACTGTTTTGTTGATAAGGAAGCCACAAGATAAGTCCATTCCAGCCCCACTCCAAACACCAGATACCAAACGACTCCACTTTGCAAACTGTTATCCGGCCGGACAAGGAGTCTTTGGAAAGCTTAACTGTTAGGGTACTCGCCCCAACAGATCCCACATTTAAAACGCCTTTAAGGAGTAGGGAAGAACAGTCTAAACCTGGATAAAGTGGGCACCCTTTCCGCTCTCACGCCGTCCCAGCCCGCAAGCAACTAGGCGTACCAAGCAGTGCCCAGAGCACGCTACGCGGGACCATCACGCCGAGCACACGAGCTCCCAGCCAAGCTGCTTACCTTCACGTGGTTCTCCACGGCCGCACGGCCCGCCAGTTTCTTGGCCTCCTCGGCCTTGGACATCGTGGAGGGGAATGGGCAGACGCAATTGGCGTCCCCGCCGCTGGCAGTAGTGCGGCCGAGGGTTCCGGACTGCGGGCGCCCGGGAGGTTGCACGTGGGAACCCGGGAGGCCCCAACAGCTCCCGCCTCCGCCAGAGGCCGCGCCCCCGGCCCGCCCGGGCAGCGGGGCCAGGACCCGCCCGTAGAGGGTGCTGAAGGGCCCGGGGCGCTGCATGCCTACGCCTAGCTCCAGCCTCCGCCACGGTCCCGCCCCTGGCTCGTCCGGAAGTCTGGTGGATTTCGCACACAGCCCGAGCCCGCTTCGGCGCGGGACTTACTGGGAAATGTAGTTTTGTGGCCTCCACAGCCCGAAGACGCGCTCCAGCCTGGACTACCAACCCCACAATGTTCCGTGACTGCCTGCACAAATAATCGGCGACGAGCTTCCGGGCGACGGACAATTAGGGCCAGCCGCGGCGGTCACCTGTTGAAGGGAGCTGTGTTTATGTGAAGCTTGGGTAGTTCCCAGGGATTTTTTTTTTCCTTCTGTCTGCTCACGCATGAGAGAAAGGAGTGTTAGACCTGACCCTGTTGTTTTTCCCAGCAGTAAGAACGTGGCCTTGGAAGAGGCCTTAGGGCAGTCACTGTTACTGGAGACGCCTCGGCCCTTTGGGGAGTGACTTCTCCAGACTCATTTCCCAAGGAAGCGCATGCGCAGCCTGGCGCCTGCTGAAGACCATCATTAGAACCCCGAAGTCCCATTCTACAGGTTTAGAATCCCCAGCCTTAGGTGCCTTGCACTTTGCGGTTTTGTATGGCGTGCTTTGTGGGGATGGAGCCTCATCCCACAGGTACGAATGTGCCCTGCAGAGACCCTGCAATCCTTGTTGACTTAATGAAGAGGTTCAGAACAGGACTCCCCAAATGTGCCACTTTGGCAAGTGGACTCTTTCAAGCTGAAAGCAATTGAGCTCCAGTGGGCCGTGGAGAAATTTCTGTCCCTCCCTTAATTACATAGAAAAATCTAAATTGGTTCTCTTTCCCAGAATGTCAGTTATTACCACGGATAAATGTTATCGGAGTGACTCATCTGTATGACAGGGCAAGCAAATGATTACCAAACATCTGCTTTTACTGCCCTGGGAATTGCCCTCCACCCCTTTGACAAGCCAGGCTCTTAACCTTATTTCTTAAATCATTTGACGGCATATATGCCTCATTTTTCTTTTCTTTCTTTGAACTCATGTATGTGGGCTGTTTCCATACATGAAATTAAGTATGGTTTTCTATTAATCTGTCCCATGTAAATTTAATTCTTAGACCAGCTGGAAAAACCTGTGAAGGGCAGAGGAAAATTTTTCCTCAATGTAACAAGGACTGCACTGACCTTAACAGCTTTCTCTTCTACCTGTAAAATGTCTTCCTGACCCTAGCCACACCTATTACTTGAAGGGTCTTTAAAAACATTTAATTCTTGTGCTTCTCACTCATCTTGGTGAAATCCTTTCAAACTGCCCACAAACTCATCTTCAAACTCTGAGCCTTCTTCCTCTTCCGTGTCCAAGGCACCAGTATGGGCCACTTTTATCACTCTTATCACATGGATTCTCTTTGCTGTGTCCCTGAGGTTTTCAGCCCCTGGACCTCCACCTGAGTCTACAGTAGGAAAAGTCAGTTGAGGTGATACTGAGTCCTAGGTTTTAGGCAGAATTTGGAAATTAGCACCATGTTCTGGCTAAGATATACAGGACAAAATATCTGGGACCCACGCTGCTGTTGACTTAGGCAAACTTGTGACCTTTGCTGTAACTCCTTTGTGACAATCCTTCCTCCAACTCCAGGCCCCTTGGCACTCACTTCCCAAAGGCTGATGGAGCAAATGTTAATAGCCAGTCTCTGCTTTACCTTCCAACTGGGCCTTCCCCACCACCTTACATGCTCTGCCTGTCCATCTGCCCCGTTCTCATTGCCAGTTCCATTTTATCCTTTACTCAGTTGAAATGCCACCTCAGTCTTCCTGACCACTCTAAATTGGGTTTCCAACCACCCATCCTCTATCACTTTACCCCAGTGTTTACTTCCAACATAGTTACAAAAAACTCTATGTTTACTTCCAACATAGAACTTCCCTTGATCATTTATTTGTTTGCTTAGTTTTGTACTTGTTTGTCATCTATCCTCTCTAGAAAAATTTCCGGGAAAAGGACTTTGTTTTTCTCCATACAGCATCCTCCATGGATCTAACATGTAGACGGTCTACAACAACTACTTCCAGCATGACTGAGTAACAGATTTCACACCTCTATCCCACTCTCCAACTGCAGCCATACTGAATTTCCATCTCTGCTGTACACATCTTACCTCCTTGTCTTTGCCCACACTGTACCCTAACTCTTAGATGTTCAGGACTCCACTCCCTTACTTGTTACTCTGAATGCACACCTGGCTGGGTTAGCTGCTGTGTGCTCCCAGTCACCTGTGTCCTCTCTAGTCCATCTTGCTCTTTCCACTTGAATGTCTCACTCAAAAAACACTACAAGTCCCTTGATAGCAGAGACAGTCTATTCCTTATAGAATGCACAGCATCTGGCTCAATATTTTGGGAGTCAGTGGTGTTCTACAAAATTCTATCTGTCTGTGACTATCCCTTCCCTTCTTGTCTCTTTTTTTCTCCATCTGTGATCATTTCTCATTCCTGCTCCACTTACCTCTTCTCCTTAGTTCTGCCAATGACATTCAGTGACTCTCATGGGCATTTTGAAATCCAGTTGGTGGCTCTTGAGCCTGAAGACTGCTTATCCCTGTGATACCAAGCTTCTTGTTCGTGGAGTCGAAGAATGAACTTAGCAAATGCTCAAGGTAGGCAAGCAGGAGAAAAGGTTTTAATTCAGAGAAAAGAAAGTACAGAAGTCACAGCACACGTCAGGAGGAGCAAGGTTGCTGCTTATGGGCCCAGGGCTAAGGGTTTGTGCCTGTTGCATCAGTGAGGGAGATGAGCTATCTGTTGTGTATAGATTTACTCCAGAGTGCTAGCTCTGTTTTCACTATCACATTAAAAGGTCACTTTTATTTTAAACGCATATGTCTGCCTGACTATGGTCAGCAAACTGTTTCATATCACTGGGTTTTGGGTGGAATTTCCCTATACATTGTTTCAACCACAAGCATCCTATTTTCCTTTACATTCCTGAAGCCTCAGCAAGGTTTTGTCCTTTTCCATGGGCCTGTATCCTACTCTTAAGTGGACAGGGGCTGCCCCCTGTCACTTCCCTGTCTCACTTGGAATGTGTAAGCATTGTGTTCTTATGACACTCTTCATTTGCATATCAATTGATAATAATGGCACATATCATGCTAAGTGCTTTGCAGGCATAGTCACATTTCATCTTAATGCCAAGAAGAGGGTACTATTATCTCCATTGTACAGACGAGGCACAGAATTCCTGCCTTACTCAAGGTCACACTGCTCATAGTGAAGCTGGGATGCAAATCCTCAGTGATTCTGAGACCAAAGTTTGACATAGAATCACCTCAATGGAGTTTTATTAATTGCCTCCCCCCATCAATATAGCCCTCAACTTTGTATAAACTACACACATAATGCTTTTTCTCTTCAGAGTCACAAGTAGTAGCAATGAACCTTAAGGCAAATGGTTAATAAGGGGAAAAAAGAAGGAAAAAAACTATAATAAGGGAAGACTAAATGAAGGAAGTACAGTTTTGGGGTGCTGGACCACTTTTGGGATCTCACAAAGGTCAGATCAACCTACTTTATAATCATAATAACCTGCTAAAAATTCTGATTTTCTTTCTACATTACTCACTTTCAGGAAAGAACCACACGGGGCTCATTTTCCCTCTTTCATGGAACTTAATATCCCTGGGAAAGAGTTTTCAGGGCCAGAATGAGGGATCACAGGGGCAGAGCCCACCATCCAGTATTATCACTGGAGGTGAGAGAGAGGGCCTTAGGCACTACATCCCCTTGGTGGCCCCAGTGTGGTCCAGCCTGAGGATATAAAGGCAATGGGGCTCCATGGCATGTCCCTCAACCCGAGATAGAGGCTCCCCAGGGAGATACCCAGGCACCATTGTGTGCCAGCCTGGGCTTCAGTGAGGCAAGAAAATACTTCCCTACTTTCCCCACTTCCCTGCTCTCTCCCTTTTTCTTCAGCGTGTTCATTTGAAAGGGGCCTCCCAGGAAAGACCGTACAGACCACAAAGCAGGTGCTACATTGGATTTGAGGGTCCTGTCAGAAACTGGAGCAGTGCTGGCTCAACCACACCTCAGGCTAGAGTTTGGACTACCTGAATCTGAGTCAGCAGCCAGACTAATTTATAAATAGGTACTCAAGCTAACAACCCCTTAGCCTGTATCCCTTCAACATCCAGCTCTCACACCCTTAGGGTGGCCCTTGGGAGTCTGAACTTGTGGCCTATGTCACCACATCCCCTTTCTATGGTGGCAGGTTTATTGTCTATTTATAATTCTGATAGTTAAGTCCTTGGAAGAGGATGAGACTTCATTATTCCTCATGGTCTAGTGATCAAAATGAGCCATGGGTAAATATATCAGTGTTACTACCTTGCCATAGATTTAACATTGAAAGGGAGCATAGCACAGTCCATCTACCAAAACTAAGTCTTCCTGGTTGACCAAGACCACATGATTCTGAAAAAAATGTGTCAAGAACAATTCTTTACTGCTGTGTGAAACCACTCCTTGCTTAAGGATCAAACTGCCTTTGAAATCTTTAGTGGTTGTCAACTTGGAGTGTGATTTTGCCCTCAGGCAATATGTGGCAATGCTGGGAGACATTTTTAATGGTCATGACTTGGGGGTGCTACCGGCATCTAGTGAGGCAAGACCAAGGATGCTTCTAAACATCTTTTTTTGTACAGCCAGTCACACACACACAAAGAATTTGCTCACCCAAAGTGTCAGTAATGCTGAGATGGGGAAACCCTGCCTTAGAGAATCCTCAGTGGGGATTCATGGGTGGCTTCCCCACCCTGGGCAGGTTGGTTCACCTGCTGTGTCCACACTCAGCACTCCTGGGTGATCGGCTTTTCCAGTCCCGTTCTGTCACCAAAGAACTCCCTGCCACCCACTACCATCACCCCTGCTGGTTGTTCCCTACTCCGCACAGCAGCCTCAGGAGCTCACCTTTTCTCTTTGGCCAAGGTTGTCCGTTCCATTGGTTTCATTTCTCTGGATGGAGCTGAAAGAGGCTT